GACTTGCCACGGTCTCCAACCCTCCTCCTTTCTCATCCGGGCTTGGGACCGGCCATGGCGGAGTTAAGTGTTTTATTTGCTCTAATTTATGTTAACTGCTGATTAGTATTAAATTGTAGTGCGGGCAGAATACTATTTAACGGGGGTTTCATCCATTTAAATCTGACGATCGAGAAGTATGATTTTATGTTGAAGGGCATGAGTTGTTGAAGGCCTTGCAATGTTTCCCCTATGCGCTGTTCATGAACTTGATAATTTTTTTATCTGAATGCAGGGAAGCATAAAAACTTATTGGAACTAACTTGTTACTCAAGAAATGAGCAATTGCTGTGAAATGCGTTATGTTTTTCATTCGACAAACTTTGATATGTTACGTGTGAAAATGAGCCACCAGCATTCCTGGTCATTAAAAGCATTCCTGGTAATAAAAACCTCTGTAGTTTCTAATGACAATTTTATTTTGCTTTTATCATGAGTGATAAATCCCTGATGGCAACTAAAATTGTCTTCCTACATAGAAGTTGAAATTGGGGTTACACCTTGTGCTGATTATTACACTTGAAAGCCAGATATCACGTGGGTCAAGGCAAATTCACTGTGGTCGTTCGCATCAGACAGCACAGATGAACATCTGGTTCTTTCTGGCTTTACCAGACCAAAATGTCATGCTCTCGCTATTATTCGCAAGTAACCTCACTTACTGCCTGTTTCGCGGTTTGTGACGCTAAAGCAGTGAGGGATTAATTCTTTGCTCAAGGTGCGGTTGAGACAGAGGTTGTGGAGCGGATTTGATCCTGGCACCTCTTCGGCACTGTGCCTTCACGCGACCGTAGAAAGGCTCTGTGATGCTATAATGCCAGATTTCTGTCTTGATCATTTAAATAGCCAAAATACTGATCTTTTATCATCATTTCTGGTATCTGGCCTTGTCAGAACTTTATATATAAATTTCTTTTATCCTTTTAAGGGCATATTTCATGGTGGAAGATTTCGCTAGTTTTTATTTTGGAATTAAAATGGACTTTGCTCACTCCAGGTCTTCCGTTCATTTGATCTTAGATACGTAACTGGCATCATCTGTAGCACTTT